CATCTTAGACCTTACGCTGAATAGTTACAGATCCTTTTTTTGTTCATTGTTGCAAGGCACACTGGATCAGACTTGGTGAGATTTCGTCCTTTTCACCTTTCCTTTTGTGTTTTCTGAACATTACTGACACACAATAAGGTGAGCGCTCGGTACAAACTGTCTTCATCCTGGTTGAAATTCTGGTAAGATATTTCAGGGAAATGCCGAATGTGGGAGAATTCACAGCACTTTCGGATTGTTCTCATTTGCTTGTTCAAATGATAAGGCTGTTGTTCTCGTTCTCATGTACTGGTGCTAAGATTTTTTCAACTGAATCTGGATGAAATGCAGGTCCGCTACATTTCGGGAACTGCCCGATGATGAGTATGCCCTAATAAGATCGTTTGGCAGGCTTCCAGAATCTTTTGCCTTTTGCTTTGTTTGCGATATTCGTTTAACTGACTTGCCGGCAAGCCAGTACTATTCTGACTCCCAGAATCTTAAGCTCTTACAACCGTCTTCACCTGAATAGAACGCCTGGTCATTATAGCTGCATTAGGGCCAAGTTGAGGTCCAGATACAGTGATGATGACCGGGCGTTCTATTCGGGTGAAGAAGGTAGCGAGACTATTGCTAACTATATAGTGGACAAACGGCCGGTACCAACTGGCGGGACGGATGGCCGGGCAACCCGCACAGCTGCCGGATTAGGTGCCCCCAGTAGCCTAGCTTGTCAGTGCCTTAAATCACCACTACTTCCGAGCCTCTTTTTGCCGAGGCGGAAAAGAACTGCATGCCAAGCTTTGCTGTACCGCCATCATGCGCGCCAAGCATTACATGATGTTCTTGTGGTCCGGTACCTCTGTTCATCCTATCGAGCATTCCCGGATGTTACATTTTCAATTCTCGACATTGCCTGGGGAAGGATAGTGGTGGTTTAAGTGGGAATACCCCCAACAAAGCTGCTGTTTCCTCTGGCCATTACTCGAGAAGAGGTTGTCTTGCTGTCATTTTTCTACGATTGTGACCAATGCAAAAAACGTTTTGTTGATGATGTGCTTGCAGCGTCCAGTTTTGTCAAGGAGACGTTTGTCAGCGGATATCCTAAGCTTGCATCCATATTTAATGGAATGCAGGATAGGATTTCAAGGGAGTCTGCAATTAAGGGTGTTCCTCCGGCATTAAGGTAAATGAAAATGAGCCCACATTTGTTAGTTGCGTTCTTCCACTTCTTGATTGCATTTTGGTATCTCGTCTGCAAAGGGTCTTGTGACCCCTCCTCTTGTTGCCAGGTAGCTGTCACGGATGACCTCTCTCTCTCTCTCTCTCTCTCTCTCTCCTGTCTCTTATACACATCTAGATGTGTATAAGAGACAGGGTCTGCACCTATACGGTATGCAACACACTCTGATACACAACACGACACGGATGCAGCAGTAGTTGCACTCTTCGCTCCAATCGAGCACGTGACCGCCACTGCTCCATTTGCCCGGTCACTCACACGGGATGTAAACTCAAGACCGCGGGTCGCACAGGAGCTTCCACAGTAGCATCTGGGGTGTCTCACACTGTGCCAAAAAACGCTGATAGCTAACTGTGGGTTGCGGGGTTTTTTATTTTTATTTTTTATTTTTTATTATTATTTATTTTTAATAGTCCGGGCTGCTGCTAGGGGTGCTGATAATAAAATAAAAGGGTTGCAGGGATCAGTCGATCACATGGCAGGGTTTCAGCCATGACAGTTTGTGACTAGCTTGTTATGTTTTCCCATCGCACATTCTTGTGCGAGCGCCGAGCTCCTGTGGCAGAACTGAGATCTGTGGTGCGTTTGCGCAAAGTACAGGGGAGGTTGAAAATGTTAAAAGAAAAGAGAAAATTGATGCAGGCCGGGTGTGGTGCGATGTTTAGCCGTGTGTCGTACTGTTTCATCTGGATGTGGCACTATGTTGTGTGTGGCTGTGTAGTGTGGACATTCAGGGTGATCCTTGTACATGCGTGCAAGAGAGAGTGAGGGGGAGTGAGGCTGGTGGTAGAGAGTGTTCGGCGGCCATAGCCGCAAGTTGTACATTTGATTCAGACTGAGTTTAATACAAGTTCATTGTTGTTCTGAGTGGGAAGAGTGCGGTTTTGCCATCGGTTCTCAAGTGTGCATGTTGTGAAGCAAGCCCAGAGTCGAGTCTGATTGCAATGTGGTTCGAGTGTACTGCCAGCTGGTGGGCAAGCACTTCGACCCAACAAATTCCCAGGTTGTTGCATTATGCGAGACCCTTTGGTTCCTGCAGAGGAACAGAGAGAGAGAGAGAGAGAGAG